CTCTTTTTCTCCCTCCATACCCCTCTCTCTAAAAATAAATAAAATTAAAAAAAAAGAAAGAAAAGTAAATAAATTGTGCACATAATTTCTCCAGACTTGGTTTCCTTATATATAAAAATGAGGATGATGGGGGTAGTCTAAATGATCTCCAAAGGTCTTGACATATCAACATTCTATGACTCTACAAATTCCCACTCAAAATATTTTGCCTATGTGACATCACACAGACACGTTGGGAAATTTCTGGAGGCTTAGAATTTGTTGTTCACAGATGTTCTTGATCCAATCTAAATAAGACCTTCTCTTTCCTTTTGTTTTCTCTTTGTAAGCAAAAGAATAGCTACATATCCCAAGATGAATATTGGGGACACAACTATACTATCCCAGTTTTCTCTTTGGCTCCCAGCCGAAGGAATGAAACTGGCTGCCATCATCAAAGTGGAAGAAGAGTGAGTGGAGGACAGCGTATGTGAGGGAAAGCTGATAACATTACAAAATTCAACAGTGACCTGGCGATTCATTTTGTTTCCTGGTAGTTACCACTTTCCAGTTTTGACAGATGTGGTTTTCTGATTTTTTTCTTAAGAAGCTTACTGGGTTTGCAAAGAAAGCACTAAAAGGATAAGGTTAAGGAGTTGATTCAGCATCAACAGAAACAGATGTCTTATTGTAATTAAATTGAAATTCTGAGACTTTCTATGGGCCAATTTTTGTAGCCTATACCATTGCCTTTTATTTACTCTTATGCAAACCATTTCCCACTTAAAATTCATAAGTGACAAAATACAACTGCTTTATTTCTCCCTGATGTTGATATTGATATGAGTCATTGGTCTGGCAAAGATTATTTAATAAAGAGATCAGATGGATTTGCATTGTTGATTCATCTCTACACTGTGGAAGGGGGCACCCAGGACACCCTGGCATTGATAAGTGATGGTGAGAAGGCTTATGATCTGCAAGATATTTTATTTATTTATTTATAGGGGAAGGGAGGGAGAGAAACATCAATGTGAGAGAGAAACATTGTTTGGTTGCCTCTCATACGTACCCTGACCGTGACCGAACCTGCTACCTAGGCATGTGCCCTAAATAGGAATCCAACTGGTGACCTTTCACTTTTCTGCCAGATATTTCTGAAAAATGTGTGCCACAAATAGCTTCACTGCTAGCCTAAAAGGTGGGCAACTGCTTTAGTACTTCATTCCTTCAGGTCAAAGTTTGCATCAAGAAATCCCCTCTTAATGTCAGTGTTGCTTACTCTTTCTCAGCTACCAATATTTCATTGTGAACTTAAAAGTTTAGCAGTCATCAAAATTAGCCTTGAGACAGTAGGGGGCATAGAGTTGAAATGAAGAAGCTGTGTAAAGCTTATATCTACCTAGATTTTCCAAACTGGCTCTTCTGGAGGAGCACTTTTTTTTTCAAAAGACTATTAGTAGGCATTGTGGATTTATAAAAGAATGAGATCTGAGGTCAGCTAAGTTTAGAAAACACAGAACTTAGGAGAACTAAAAAGGCCTTTTTTTTTAACTGAAGCCTTTGATGTGTTAATAATTATTCAACAAATATTTATTAAACACTGACTGTATGCCAAAAATAGTTATAAGTGTTTGGGATACCCCAGGGAATGTGACAGACAAAGATCACTTCCCTGCAGAGCTTATATTTTAGCAGGATGAGAGAGGCAATGAACAATAGACCTAATATATAAAAAATGTTAAAGTGGTAACACAGGTTGTTGGAGGAAAGGGAGCATGCTGCATTTTTCAAATGGATGGTTAGTATGTACTCCATTGAATAAATATTTAAATTTGTTAAAGAAGTTAGTTATATAGATACCTGGATTAAAAATGTGTCAGGCAAGGGTGGCAACTGGTGCAAAGATCCTGAGGTGGGATGTTCAAGGAGCAGCAAACAGGTGAATGTTTGTGGAACAGCTGGCTGGGGGTGGGGTGGGGAGACATAGTAGAAGTCAGAGAGGCAAGGAGGAGAAAGGAGTTACAGATTATGTAGGGCTTTGCTAGCCATTGTAAAAACTTTTTCAACTGAGGGAAATGAAGAGCCAATGCAGAGTTTTGAGGAGAGGAGTAAATTGTTCTGACATATTTTTAAAGGATCACTGGTTGCTGTGTTGAGAACTGACTGAAACCATGCAAGGGAAGAGGCAAGGAGACCAGTTAGGGCAATACTGCAATAACTCAAGCAAGAGATGAAGATGACTAAAAGACTAGGTAGTAGCTGAGGGAAACACTTGGATCCTGGATATATTTTTTAAGGCAGATTGAATATGGAGTGAGAGAGAGATGAGTCAAAAAAAGGCACTATTGTCATCAGTTGAGATGGAGACACTATTGTCATCAGTTATAGGTGGTAAGAGGACAATGTTAACAAGCTTACTTTTGGACATGTTAAATGTTATATACTTTTCAGACATCCAAGAAGAAATAGTAAGCAGACAGTTTGATAAGCAGGCTGCTATAATATGATACCAAAGACTGGGTAGCTTATAAACAACAGAAATTTAGCACTGGCTGGTGTGGCTCAGTGGATTGAGTGCTGGCTTTTGAACCAAAGGGTTTCTGGTTTGATAAGCAGTCTGGGGCACATGTCTGGGTTGTGTGTCAGGTCCCCAGTAGGGGGTGCGCAAGAGGCAACTACATATTGATGTTTCTCTCCTTCCCTCCCTCTCCTTAAAATAAATAAATAAAATTTTGAAGAAAAAAAAAACCCCGGAAATTTATTTCTCATAGTTCTGGGACCTGAAAGTCCAAGATCAGGATGTCAACATGGAAAGATGAGGGCCTCTTTCAAGTTGCAGGCTTCTCATTATATACTCATGTGATGGAAAGGATAAAGCAACTCTCTGAGGTCTCATATAGAAGGGCATTAATCCCATTGATGGGGCCTCCATCCTCTTGACCTAATCACCTCCCAAAGGTCCCACTTACTAAAACCATCACCTTTGTGGATTAGGATTCTAACATATGAATGTGGGTCAGGGGACACAAACATTCAGACCATAGCAATATGAGATGGAGTTTTGGGAGAAAAGCCTGAACTGACAACATAAATTTGGGAGTGTTTAGCATGTGTATGGTTTTTAAAGTCTTAAGACTGGATGAGATGCCTAAAGGAATGAGTTGAGAGAAAAAAAAAATATGCTGAGCACAAGGCGACTCCAGTTTCATGAGATCTGATAGAAGTGGCGGGGGCGGGGGCGGGGGGGGGGGGAATCAGATAATAGGACTGAAGGATAAGGACAAGAAAGGTAAGAGGAAAACCAGAGAGAACAGTATCCCAGAAGGCAGGTGAAGGAAATGTTTGAAATGGGAGGGAGAGATGGGGTGGGCCAATGTTTCCAACAGATCAGAAGGATTAGAACTGACACTAGACCATCGAAGGGACATCCTCCATGTTATTGAAGGCCAGGAGCACTTTCACTAAGCCCCTTATGTGAACTCTGAATTCCTAAAAGAGTAATATCAGTAAACTGTATTGAGTTTCCCAAACTCAGCGGAGAAACTTTTTCACAAAATATCTCCAGTGTAGCCAAAACTATTTTGGGAAATGTTGGCTAGTGACACTAAACGAAGAGAGTAAGCCTAGGTAGCAAAGAGGACTGGGCCAGGGGGTCGGGGCCCTGGGTCTCATGACAATACTGAGGTGGAACGCAAACCTGACCACAGTGGAGTCCTCCAGCAGCCAAAGTAACAGTAGACTAAACCCAGAAACTTTTCTTACATTTCTTCTGTTGACTGGCTCTTTGCAGAAGAGGAAAAGCTTATTGGCCCATTACATTTTGACATGAAAAAAAATGGTCAAATTTCTTTAACCATTAAGGAAATTAAAATAAAAAAACCCCTACAACATCTATTAGATTGGGTAACATTTAAAAGCCTGATAATATTAATGTTTAAAAAGATTTTAAGAAATGAGAAGTCTCATTCACTTCTAGTGGGGTTGTAAATTGGTACAATCACTTTGGTGTGTCCAGTAAATTTGAAGATGTGAAAATTGTTCAGCTTAGCAGTTTTACTTCTAGCTATTTACTCCAAAGAAACTTTTTACATGTATACAAGGAAATATTTACAAAATTTTACTGCAGAATTGTCTATGATAAATTACTTATGATAGAAAAATTAGAAATAATGTCTGTCAACAAAAGAATGAATATATAAAATGTTATATATCCACACATTGAAATAACATATAGCAGTTAAAAGTATTCTCTTAATATTTCTACTCTATGTATGCAAAGTGCTTTTAGGAGAGTGTGTGGCTGTAATGTAAGTGTGGTAGTCTATAACTTAACCACTTCCCAAAACTTATTTTTTAGCTGTCAGGCTGTTATACTATTAAATCTAAAATTAAACCATTTTGATATCAATGGAATAAACCATCATTTAAAAATATAATTATTAATTTGATAAAAGTAATAATTTAATTTTTTTATACTATGATAATCTATATGCATTTAGAGAGTGAAAATTTCCTTTCTGGATGAAAAATGAACCGTGAAATAAAGGAAAAGGTCTTCAAATGTGTAATGAAAATAAATCAATCATTTTTGTTCTCATTAAGCATATTATTTTGCCAGTCATGAAATATACTTAAATGCTAGTGTGTTGGATTAAGGGGATTTAATGCCTAACCTCACTTCTTTGTCTGCTGAATACTGCAGCTGAGAGTTTATTTAGCAGAGGATCAAGCATCTCTCTAAAAACCTTCTTCCCTGGAAAGAGTAACCAAAGGCTTACAAACTGAAAACGAAAAAAAAATCTTTGTTTTCCCTAAATTGTTGATGAGCCAGACAGATGTTTGCCTGTAGGCTATGAGAATTTAATCTACTAAAACCAAAGACCAGCACTAAAGGCAATGCTTCTCTTTTTTCCTTGATATCTTTTACCTGGCACACTATTTACTTTTCTAAAAGACTCAAAAGCAATATTGATAACAGGGTTGGTTGCACCCATCTGCATTCCTTTCTTTTGGAGGAGATGATCCTGGCTTCCCTGTCGGTCTTCTTCATCTGCTCATAGATCACTTTGCCACGAAATGCTTGTGCTGTTGCTGAAATCAAGAAGCCTCCCCAGCCGTGCTCCCCTTCAATGAAATGAACACGGCGAGCCAACGCGAAAGCGTAGTGTGGTCCATGCAGTTACCACCCAGCTGCCTCAGGCGTGCGGGAAACCTAGAAACCTATCTGTAATGGCAGCACATCTTTGTGGTGGTGACAGTCTCTAGAGCTAGCATTCACTCATGGAAACATATCACCTCTGGCTGGCGCCAGAAAGGGCAGAATCTTGGATCTCTGCTGGTGTTTGCTTATTTTTGGAGACAACAGATAAAGGGCTCACATAGGTACCTTTTTTTTCTCTTAGGGAATGTATTTCCTCAATGGTCAATACATTTGTTATTAATGTATTACTGAGGAAACAATGTTTCTTCAGATTTTTTTTTGAATAGTAGTCTAAGAACCAATTTCAAATGTCAAATACATGCAGGGTGCATGGTTTTTCGTGTATTGATGAGACAGTATTGAAAAGCATTAAAGCCATGTATTGTCTTTCAAGAATAGGTTCCATACTTTTAAAACATCATCAAATGTCAATACATCATCATTATTATTTATCATCAATAATTGAGAGCATGTTTGGACATGGTAGTAAGGCAGCATAGCTAACTACTGGAGTGACCAGTTCATTACAATGTGCTGGGGATTTTATGGGTTTTAGCACTAAAAGTCCTAGGGATCCCCTCGGTCCCAGGCTGGAACAACTGTTTCTGTATTACCCATGTACATTTAATAACCAAGAATGACATGTTGAGGAAAGACTCCTTTTCATCAAGTGCGAGATTTCTAAAAAGATCCAGTAGGAGAAACTGAATGAAGGTGAATAATACCACCCAGCTGACTTTGGCAATCGATGGGGTGACAGATGTTTCAGCCAGATTGCCCTCACAGCTTGAATATTTATGAAGCCCTCACAATAAGATCAGGAAAGAGAACAGAAAAATCTAATGAATCTATCTGAAGCCTCAGGTTGAATGACCAAAAACAAAAGAGGTGTGAGGGGAAGGGAAGAAGAGATTACTAGATTCTCTATGCCTGGTCCTGGTCTGCTCTTGAAAATTAAGGCCTACTTCCCACACTTTCTTTCCATACTCTCCCACACCCAGATCTGAGATGACATGAACTGTTGTCTAGTTTAACCGCTTTCTGAGTCTTCAAGGCAATCAGGCAAGGCAATATTTAGGAAATATGGGGTTATTCCATCAGACTATATTTTTTTCAGGTTGCTTATAACATCTGTATAGTATATTTTATCTATTTTTGAAATAGAGACTGCTTAAAATATTATTTGCTACTCAAACAGGAGGTTTGCCCAGTTTGTTTGGTGAATGTGTAGGTGAAAAAGTAGATTGTCAGAGGACCTCAGCCATCACGCTGGCCCGCTACCCATGGCAGAGTTGCTGCATGAAAATCTGCTATGTGTATTTTTTAAAGTGTTATTAAGGGGCAGGAGGAGAACATTAGTTCTTGGTAGTGGAGTAGGGATTATTTCTTATATTAGATGTTCTCACTGTTAGACACTATTTTTTTAATTTATATTTTCTAATTCACCATTTATCCCTCATACCCTCTTCCACCTCCACTCACGCCCTCACCCGCACAATCACTACCCTGTTTTTTGTACCCATGCATTTTTTTCTTTTTTGTGAAATCTCTCCACCCGCCCCCTTATCCCTGCCATTGCCCCAGCTGTCAGCCTGCTCTCTTTGAGTCTGTTTCTCTTTTGCTTGTAAGTTCAGTTTGTTCATTAGAGTCCACATGTGAGTAAACTTACATGTTAGACCCTGTTTAAATAAAGAAGGAACCTTAGGGTTTCTGCTGCATGGGGCCAAGCATGTTTATTTTCACTTCTTTATAGCCTATGTGTAGTACCCCTTTCAGCAATAAGCTAGAATATGATTCATTAAAATTTATATCTAATTCTTTTGTTTTTTAAAGAAAAATCCTCTCGGGCATGAGAGATTAAATAAACCACCGACTCTGATTCAGAAGGACCCACTGAGAATGAAAGCCAGGCGTTTCTTCGGAGGGAACCGTATAATCCAGCCAGTCAGTTTCTAGGCTGTCACTAGGCACATTACCATGCAGATTTTAAGGTATTTTGACAAAAATAGAGAAATTACTTTATAAGGTGGTTTCTAGAGCAAGTAGCGCAGGGTTCTTCAGACCTTAGTAGGTAAATAAATACTATGAGATTCTGTGCCCCACACCCAGTCTGATTATTAGTAACAAAGGAATGAACGAACGAACAAATGCTCCATTCTTCAATAATGCAAGAAAATCAACAGCATGAACATGGAAGAAAGGCATGATCTTTCTTTGAAAATTATGAAGTAAATTTATACGCATTACCTCACAGTTATGTGCGTTATTTTGAGCCAGTTTTCATACAATCAAGCAGACCCTCACATGCTTTGCTATTAACTATTTTCATTCAGAATATAATCCTATTCTTTATTCCCAAATTCCCTTTTCTTCTGAATATTTTTAAAATCTTACATCTAAAGATTCCCTTTGTTTTTCAGAAAGAAAATGGGAGCAGTGGTGGTGAATAAACTCAGTTATGGCAGGTGGAAACTGTTCCTGTTTGGCCTAGGGAAGAGATTTGGCTCCTCAGTGATGCAAAGAGGATTAGAAATGGAGACTCATTTAATTTTAATTCGTTCTTTTAACAATTGTATCGAGTGCCTTTTGTCTGTCATCTTCTGGGTGGGGGCTTAGGGATACTAGGGGAACAATGCACCAGCTCAGGCCGTAAGAATGATGAGCAGAGTGTGGAGTCTGCTTAAATCGGCTAGCAAGAGCCAACTGTTAAATTTTCAGGAAATCTATTAGCTGGCTGTTAAAGTAAACATTATTAAAAATTAAGTTATGTAAACATACAACCAAGTAATTATTTTAAAAACTAAGGTAATAAATATTTAAAACTCACCACTTCCTAATTACCGTATTTTACAATTACCTATAGTTCTTGAGGTTATTTACGTCTGTATAGTAGAAATGCTATACTATAATGTATCAACCCATCTTTTTATATCCTATCCTATAAGCTATAGTGTATGCTACAATAGATTATGATATGATATGATATGATATGACATGACAGTTCACTGTGGGCTGTGCATATCTCTGTCATGTCAGCAGCTTGAAATCAGCCATGGTGGGACTATATTTACATCATGGAAATCAGCAAATGCTACAAATAGGGCTTTTTTCCCCCCTGGAGAGCAACTTGTTAAACATTTACCAGCACATGCGTGAACCTAATGTAAAAGCTGAGAGGGTTCTAGGGATGCAAATGCAAGTAAGACAGAAGAGAAACTGTGCCAACTGTCGGCTGCAAGCTCCTCTGGGGCAGTGGCTGCTCAGGTCCAGGCTGCTTTTTTTATAACAGAACTTGAGTCCAGTGTTGCTAGATTTTCTGATTTTGTGAAAGAAGCAGGAAACTCAGATTTTCATGTGAAACTTTCTAGTTTAATACACCAGATGGGCTATCCAAAAAGAAAGAAAGAAAAGAAAAGAAAATCTGCAGATCAGCTCCTAATGTGGTCCAATATCCTCATTTTGCTGGTAAGGAAACGGAGACCTCATCACTGAGCTCATGATCTAATAGAGAGACCCAAGTAAGATTTAGGAACTGTCGTCGTCTCAGGTGGGGCATACCCGGTGGCAGCTCTTCCACAGAAATGTTCCTGCATAGGTTTTTCCATTGTAAGAGGCCGTTGACTAACATCAGGCATATATTCCCAGAGTTCAGGTGTTCAGTGGCAGTTCAGTCAAAGCCACAGATTCCTCTGGATAATGGACCATGTCCTCTCTAAGAAATCTAAAAAGCATCAGGGACCTAGTATAAATACTGGATCTAGAATTACGAAGATCTTCTTGGTGATCAAAAATTAGATCAAGCGATTTTCCAATTACTTTATTGCATTTCTTGGATTTGCATTTATATAGCCTAATAGAATATTTTTACTTCATTTTATATTTTTCTAAAGAAAAAGCTAAGTCCACAAAAAATTTTTAAATGCTACCTACGCATTATTTGGGAAAGCAGGCTGGTCTGTGTGAACTGGTTCATAATAGAGCTTAAGTAGCAAAAAGTTTATGTTAGCAGCAGGACATACTCCTAGAATGACAAGAAGAATGGGATGGTTAGGTGGAATACTATGGCTGGATCCTAGATGGCAGGTCCAGTTTGGTCTAGATAATTTATAAAATATTTATTACACAAATCCAGTAGTGGATTTTTATGTGGAAAAATAAACAGAGAATCTCAATTATGCTTTCCCTTTTCCAAATTCACTTCTAATCCATATTTATATGCCTACATGATTTTTCATGTTTAGAATTAGTATAGACACTATTTTGCTGGGTTTTTTTCTAACTTAAGCATTTTTGACATTGTCTGATGGACATTATAAAGGTATTTTTAATCACTCCATATAATTACTTTGGGTTAAAACACCAGAATTACCTATTTTATTCTTAAACATTCATTTTTCAAGTTTGCACTACTATGAATAACAGCAATAAACATTTTCATGCATGTAATTTTTTTCTTTACCAACAAAAAATATTACATTCCTAGAAATGAATTACTGAGTCAAAGAATATAAATTACCTTGATAGTTTTTGAAACTGATTTTTGAAGAGGTTTTGCCAATATTTACACTGCTACCTACAAAGTATAAATGTTCCCATTTCATCATATTCTTAATGATACTTTTTAGATTTTTAGTTTTCTGCTATTTATTAGGTATAAAATAGTACTTATGGTTTTAATTTGTATCTCATGGTTAACCTCTAGATTAAATATTTTTAATACGCTTATTAATTATATATTCCTGGATAGTCTATTCACTGCCAGACCTAGTTGTTTTCAAGTTCTGATCCTAGTAAATTAATCAAACACATAGGCCTTTGGGAAAGCACTTTTGTAAAGCAACTAGGTGAGTGTGACTCAATTGAAATGGGTTGTTTGTCATGCCACTTTTTAACCTCCAGTGCATCAGAATGACTTAGATGTATTTGCTTTTTCTCAACCAGTTTAACACTCCTTAATTCTTTGCCTCATATGTCCTTTTCAAAGACTCTCATAGTCCCCCTGAAACCACTCAAAATCCAGCTTTTCCTTCCACCCAGATCCCCAGTTTCTCAGTCACAAAATTAGAGTAGAGTTTTTGATACTGAGAAGAGGAGGGAGCATAGAAATGTTCCATTTGTTTCATTCAGGAAGGAAAAGGTTGTGCTCAAAGAGAAAAATGATAACCATAACCAAGACTTACACCTCCAGTTTCTCAAACAATGCTTATAAATACTTGGTGGGAGAAGACAGGGACTGAGAATGCTGATGTAAGACTCTTCCATGAGTTGAGATTTCTTTGCTCTATCCTATCAGAACACAGCCTTCTAAAAGCCTTTCTCCTCAGACAGAAGTTTCCAAAAGCTTTCTTTCAATGGCTACTAAAAATTAAATTTTTTTTTCTAGAAAAGGGGAGAAGTCAGGAGACACAAAGTAGGTGTGAGTATGCAAAATAGTTAAAGCTATTGTAATAATCATAATCTGCATGTTTTTTTTTCATATGAACAACCGTAACTACTTTTGCCCCACCCCGTATGTCTTAAAAAAAACAACAACAAAAAACAGGGAACTTCAAATAGGGCACCTATACTCCAAGAGTAGAATGTACTCCTCAGGATGCATGCAACCTCTCAGACGGGCATGTAGGCATAGATGGTTTTAAAACCATCATTTCTGGATCTTTGACTTTCTTTGATCTCTTTTCTGAAATTGAACTACTTGAAAACTTGCCTGCAGTCCCGCATAGTCTTCCTTTAATGATTGCTCTGTCTCTTTTGGCAAAATAAAAGCATACTTCTCTCTCTTCCTAAATCTTACTATGTGTAGAGCCCCAGTGTGTAAAATCCTCCTAGATATAAGAAGATCATTATAAATATTATTATTGAGGTAGTGAATTACTTTAAAATAACATTTTTTTCCAAACTGGGTGACTTCCTCCCTCCCTTCCTTCCTTTCTCTCTCTCTCTCTGTGTTTCTTTGTTTGCTTTCAACAAAATTGAAGGAAGAATCTAATTTGTCAGGTTACAAATTATTAGAAATAATTATTGATGATTACAATGTGAATTTCAAAATATGAGAAGGAACTTAAAAGATTAAGTTATATTGCTGAAACAAAACTTCTTCAAATTCCAGGTACTTACATGTATCTGAAAAAGGTTTTCAATATTTTCATCTATAAAAGTTAAAAAATAGGATTAGAGAAATGTAAATCCAAACCACAATGAGATATCACCTCATGCCTGTTAGAATGGCTGTAATAAAAAAGTCAAGAAATAACAACTGCTGGCAAGGATGTGGAGAAAAGGGGAACATTTGTACACTGTTGGAAGGAATGTAAATTGGTGCCACCACTGTGGAAAACCGCTCCTCAAAAAATCAAAAATAGAACTACAAAATGATCTAGCAATTTCACTTCTGGGTATTTATCTAAAGAAAATGAAAATATTAACTTCAAAAGATATATGCACTCCTATGTTCACCACAGCATTATTTACAATGGCCAAGATGTAGAAACAACCTAGGTGTCCATCAATGAATGAATGGATAAGTGAGACGTGATATATAATGGAATATTATTAAGCTATGAAAATTGAAATCTTGCCATTTGTGACAACATGGATGGACTTTGAGGATGTTATACTAGGTGAAATAAGGCGGACAGAGAAAGACAAATATTATATGACCTCACTTTTGTGTGAAATTTGAAAACAAAACAAAAAAACAACAAAAAAACAAGCTTTTAGATACAGAAAACAGATCGCTGGTTCCTAGAGGCAGGAGGTAGGGGGTGGGCAAAATGGGTAAAGTGGGTAAAAAAGTACAAACTTTCAGTTATAAAATGAGTAAGTCATGGGAACATAATGTACAACATGGTGACTACAGTTAATAACACTGTGTTGCATATTTGTAAGTAGCTAAGAGAGTAGATTTTAAAAGTCCTCATCAAAAGAGAGAAAATGTTTTTGTTACCGTGAATGTGGTAGATGATCATTATGTTATATACTTGAAATTAGTATTATGTTAATTATACGTCAAGAAAAAATTTAAAATTTTAAGAATAAAAATTAGTAATAGAATTTATGGTAGATCTGGTTTCATTGCAGTGATGAGTAATATCCATATACAGATACAAAAAATAATTGGAGATAATGTACCATCACTTCATTAAGATTTACATTATCAATAAAATTTTATTAATAATTTTAATAAGTATTTATCAACATGTATATGATTTATGTTTTGCTCCATTTGTAATAGTTATAAAAGCATTAAAAAATTATTTTCAATGTGTATACATATCTCCTTGCAAAGAAGTATGATGAGGCAATAAAATTCTAGGGAGGAATTAAAATGGAAATACAAGTTCAAAGAAAACAAGGAATGAGATAAAGTTTCTAATTTTCAAAGAACAGATTATTTATGTATTTAAAAATGCATAGTGTCGGTATGTAGATTCAATGGATACATTAAAAGCAGGAACATAAGTTTTATATTATCAATATTTAAGTAATTAAAAATTTTATGATAAAAAATTGTAGCTGTCTACTTAAATGTGTGTGAAAGAGTATATAGATTTCGAAGTTCTTTTAGATGGTATATAAGCTGAATAATCCTTTTTGAGAAATAGATGAGGTATAAATAAATCCGGATACAAATAAATGTGGGACATCTCACTGTGCAGCAAAAGAGCCCTCAGGCAAAAACGTGTGCTTTCAGGTATTGCTAGAACTGCATTTCACAGCAGGCTCTGTGTTCAGTGTTCTTGGGATTCTTAATTTAAGATATATCCTTTTCAATCTCAGGAAGAGTTATGCTTCTAAAATGACACGTTATGTGCCATTAGTTGTACTTTATTAACAAAGGAGTTCACAAATTTTCATGAGTTTTCATCCAAAGTTACACTGCATTTTCTTAAAATGATAACTAGCTAGCTTTAATTAAATGTCTACTATTTTCCAGACCAGTGGTTCTTCTGAGAAATTGTTATAAATGTAAATGATCAGACTTCAAATCTATTGAATCCAAAACTCTGGGCATGGGGCCCAGCACCCAGGTGATTCAGATGTATGCCAAAGGAGATAATATTTACAAAACATCTGGTATGGGGTCTTGAACATAGTAGGCATTTAATAAAAACTAGCTGCTATTACTTTTTAAATAAATAATTCATTCTAGCTCCTTGAAAGATGTTTTTTAGTTAATTCTATATCCTTGGAAGAAATAGTTCTATGTGTTTAATTATTCGTAGGATATAATGACTTAACGTGTTTAACATCAAATTCATTGTCTTCTACCCAAACAGACTTCTCCCTCCAACTTCCCCATTTCTATGAATGGCAAAAATACATCTATAAGTCTCTGAGTGTTTCAGCCTGCAATATCCTCACTGAAAGAACATACTGGGTAATGAATGACAGGCACCTGTAAGTCTGGACATATTCCTTCAACTAGCTGCTTTAGAATGTGAAATTCTCACCATCAAAGTCACTTTCCTGAGTTAAGAAATTGCATCCACAAGTCTTAAGTTAAAACTTACATCTTTTTGCTGCAGAACACATTTATTAATGCAAAAGCACATCAGAAATTCAGAGTAACCTGAATTCACCTGGCAGGCCCCTCAGGGTCTTGTGTTATTGCTGCTGCTGATGACGATGATGACGGTGATGATGACAGGCATGCTCTTCTGGAAGAAGGAGCTGAGCAAAGTCTCCTGCACCTGGGACAAGGAGACTGACTGCTGTGGGTCACCTACAGAGGGGCTGTGCTTTCACAGACATTCTGGCGCCACACTTAGCACATCTCTGAGGAGTCTGTAGCACAGGACCAAGACTGAGTCAAGGAGACTATGCCAGCAGCTTGCCCAGATTCACAGACCCCAGGAGTAGCAGGGCTTTACTGCCAGATCAGGCGTCTATGCACGCCAGAGAGGCCACATCCCACTTTGCCTTGCTCTAGAGAACTGTAGGTGAAAAAGTAGACTTCACCTACCTCATAATTGGACTCAGCATCAGGCCCAATCAATTGCCAAATCCATTCATTTTTTTCTTTGGTTTTCTCTCCATTCCCATTGCCATCCCTCAAGTTCTAGAACTCGCTACAGAGATTCTAGTTCTAGTTCCAGCCCGCATCCATACTTTCTGCTTATTTTGTCTTTGTAAAACACTATTTTCATCCGTTTACAATTTTGCAATTTTTTTTTTTTTTTTACTGTCTTCAGGCAAAAGTAGTTTAACTTCAATGATTCATGATCACTTGGGTAGCATGTTTAATGCAGATTCCTAAGCCCTGTTTTTGGGGTTATTGTTGAGGCGATCTGGGGTGGTGGTTGTGGATATGAATTTTGATCACTTCCACCCTGGTGGTAGTGACCAGGTTTTCCTGGTCTAAAACCCACATTCTGAGAAGCATTGCCTATCAGTGCATTACTGTACATCCAAACTCAGTTTGTCATTTATAATGCCCCAAAATTTGGTTTATCACACCTCCCCCACCCTTATATGATAAAGAGTAAATGGTGGCAGAGCTTTGGTTGTGGGTAATATGAATTGAGAACATGAGCTTCTATGTATATATTTCAGAGGATACCAAGTTGAACACAGAAGTCTAACCTAAATCAAAATATCCAGAATTGTATGTATCTCAAAAGTAATATTTCCACTTTGGAGGGACAGCAAACAAGAAACCAGAATGAGGAAAGGTGACAATACCAAAGTGTGGCCCCTGAAATATGAGCAACTTCTCCATATGGAGGACCACGATTTTACAATGAAACCTGGATTTGGAGGTGAGTATTTTCTTTACAAAACTCTAAGTCACAATACATCTCACTGTCAAAATAAAGCTGAAAATTTAAAACAATGAAGACCAAAAACACAAGTAAATGCCATTAATTAAAAAAAAGAAAACAGAAAACCTTTTTTACATTTTATTTTATTTTATTTTTAAATCATGTTTATTCTATTACAGTTGTCTCAATTTTTCCTCCTTTGCCCTCCTCTACCCATCCCACCCCGCCCCTCTCTCCCATAGTCAATTCCCACTCTGTTGTCCATGTCCATGGGTCATTCATACATGTTCTTTGTTTAGTTTCTTCTCCTTCTTTCCACCATTTTCCTCCTTCTGCTTTCCCCCTGGTCACTTTTAGTCTGCTCCATGTTGCCATGCCTGTGGTTTATTTTGTTCATCAGTTCGTTTTGTTGAATAGATTCCACTTATAGGTGAGGTCACATGGTATTAGTCTTTCACTGACTGGCTTATTTTACTTAGCATAATATTCTCCAGTTCCATCTATTGCTGTTGCAAAAGGTAGGAGCTCTTTCTTTCTTTCTTTCTTTCTTTCTTTCTTTCTTTCTTTCTTTCTTTCTTTCTTTCTTTCTTTCTTTCAAAGGATGTTTCTTCCTTTCTTTCTTTAAATGCAGACTTTATTTATTTATTTAAAATGTCAAGATCCATTATAAAATATTTAAAAATTTAAATGCATTATAAAGTCTCAGCAATTAAAACAACATGACACCAGCACAGAAATAATAAAGTAGATCCATGAAGTAAAATGAGCACCTACACAGAAATGTATATACCTGTCTAACGATGTAACATATGATTTAATTGATATTTCAAATCAATGGGGAAAATAAGGCTTATTCAACAAATAAGGTGCATGGACCACTATTACTTGAAATAAAACAAATATAGAGCCTTATTTCACACATTATACAAAAAATATTCAGGTGAGTTAAAAATCAATATGTAAAATCTAAGGATTTTTAGGAGAAAATACAAAATAATATTTTTCTTACCCCGAAATAACATATTCAAACCGAGAAGCTATAAAGTAAGATATTGACAATATGACCATATTAAACATTTAAGACTAGATAGTAATATATGTATAAAAAAAGTTAGAGGACAAGTAATGCAATAGGAAAGTATTTTCAATACATCTAAAAAAGGGTTAATAGTTTTTTTTTCTTTTTTAGGGAAAAACTTCTACAAACATTTAATCAAAAAATGTATAAAGAATACCCAAAAGTTATTTAAAGCTTTTTAAAAATAATAGAAATAGGCAAGAAATATACAAAAACAGGTTTAGTTTCAAAAAAATAATAAAGTAACAAAATAACACATCATTGTCACAATCAGATTAGTAAGTATTAAAAATATTGGTAATATCAAGTATTGGTGACTGTGAAAGGAACTGGATGTTCATAGACTTTTTTTCTTCATCTTAAAGCCGTCCCTTTAGCATATTTTGCAATGCTGGTTTGGTGGAGGTGTATTCTTTTAGCTTTCTTTTGTCTGGGAAACTCCTTATTTCACCTTCCATTTTAATTGAGAGCTTTGCTGGATAGAGCAGTCTTGGTTGCAGGCCTTTGCTTTTCATTACTTGGAATATTTCTTGCCATTCCCTTCTGGCTTTTTGTGTTTCTGTGGAGAAGTCAGCTGCTTACCATACCAGGGCTCCCTGATATGTTACTACCTCTTTCTCCCTTGCTGCCTTTTGGATTCTCTGTTTGTCTTTGATCTTTGCCATTTTAATGATGATGTGTTTTGGAGTGGGCCTCATTGGGTTCCTCTTGAATGGGACCCTCTGTGCTTCCTAAACTTGTGTGACTTTTCTCTCCTACAATTAGGGAAGTTTTCCATCATTACTTTTTCAAACAGGTTCTCTATCCCTTGCTCCTCTTCTTCTCCTTCTGGTATCCCTATTATACAGATATGATTGCATTTCAGGTTGTCCTGCATTTTCCTAAATGCCTCTTCATTCTTTTTGAGTCTTTTTTCATTTTCTTGCTCTTTCTGGGAGCTTTTTTCTACCTTATCCTCCAGCTTGCTGATTTGATCCTCTGCTTCATCTAGCCTGCTTTTGATTCCTTCTACTGTGTTTTTCAATTCAGAATTATATTCCTCATTTCCTCTTGTCTCTTATTGATAGTCTCTATGTCCTTTTTCATGCTGATATAGTTTGCAGTAAGTTCCTTATAGTTTCCCTGTAGTTTTTTGTAATTCTCTCTGAGCTCACTGAGCTCATTGAGCTTCCTTAGAACTGTTGTTTGGAACTCAATATCTGATAGTTTACTTGCTTCTATTTCATTTAGTTCTCTTTCTGGAGATTCCTTCTTTCCCTTCAGCTGCGGGGGGGTGTTTCTTTGTTTTCCCATTATTTGTGAGACTTTTCTTTTTTGCTTCTGCTTCTTAAATTGATCTGTCTTGATTTCCTGACTTTGTGGTGTGAACTTCTATGGGAGGAGATCGCTGTTTTTTTCCAAAAAACCTTTACAATGATATTCTCTTGAATGGGAATGATTGATCATTTATTTTGTCTTTATGTATTATAAATTGACCAAAAAATGAGAACTATCTTTAGCAAATATCCATACTAGTTACTAATTGTAAATAGTATATGTTCAATAAATAGTGAATGGATATATCCTGCCTATACAACAACTTGTTTCAACTAAAACCTATAAATTGTATTACATGATGATATTCATAAAATCTTATTAAATATTCTCATAAGCTGGAACACCTAGCTGTCGTGGAAGAACTAGTATGCCAAATGTCTGTCTCCCTTCATAACAACTCTGCTGAGGTTTTTTCTCTTGATCACTTTTAGTAATGAAGACTGATATAAATGTTGGCATGCCAGGCAATGTGCACTACCTCATTCCATCCTCACAATGACCCTAGGAAGTAGGGTCCTGTCATGGTCCCTAATGTTCCAGTGTGGAAACTGGGGTTTAGAGAGGTTAAGAGATTTGCTCAAGGCCACACACACACGAAAAAGGCAGTAAGTCGTGGAAGCAAGATGCAATGGCAGGTAAGGAGTGCAGAAGAAAGCCATATATGAGAAGTACATACTTGTAACAAAGTCTTCCCTCCTCTCATGTTGTTTCATGTGTCCATCACTCAGAGTGCCACGTTTTCCAGACATACAAAGGATGTGGTGAAGTCAGCTCTTTAAACGGAACTGTCCGCCCTACTGCTAAATCTACCCGGACTCTTCTGTCCATGACCTAAGTCTCCCACTCCCACAATTCCTGAATAGACAACTTTTCAGAATATTGGATGTGTGGATACAAGAAAAGTGAATGTGCAGGTGAGAAGTCAGGCTCCTTCAGCTGTGGGACAGGTTCAGCTTTTTAAAATTTTTTTATTTATTTAATTTTAGAGAGAGGGGAAGGGAGGGAAAAAGAGAGGGAGAGAAACATCAGTCGGTTGGGTTGCCTCTCACCTCCAACTGGGGACCTGGCCTAGCAACCCAGGTATGTGCCCTGAGCGGAACTGAACCAGTGACCTTTTGGTTTTTAAGCCAGCAGCCAATCCACTGAGCTACACCAGCCAGGGCCAGGGCTGGGGCCAGGGCTGGGGCCACGGCCAGCCTTTTGATAAATGACTAACACTTCAAGTACTCAGGATGGGGCCGGGGGACTTGATATTCACTATGTTGTGGCAAAATAAAAAATTATGTCAGGTAACTTGTTATGGTGAGGGTTGTTTGTTTGTTGTTTTTTAATTTCCTGGAATCCATTGGGTTGCAGTTCTAAAGGTCTGGCTTTCATTTTACTAGATTAGTGACTCAAACTTTAGTAAGCATCGGAATCACCCGGGGCATTCTTAATACATGGGTTACTGGACCCTCCCCCCACAAATTTAAAATCACTAGATCTGAGTGCGGACAACAATTTGCATTTGTAATAAATTCCTAGATGCTGCTGCTGCTGCTGCTTCTGGTCTGAAAGCCCTATTTGATAACTACTGATTTAGATGATCAGCATCAGGTTAAGTCTTAGTGAGTTTAATTTTTGTTTTTACAGAGAATTTCTCAGTTATTGAACCTAATTTAGGACTTTAGAAGCCTTGAAATAAATCAGGTTTGAAGATGTGTCCATTTTTTACTTCTAATACTGTTTCTCTTTTTCTTTAGACCACTAATCCTCAAATGTGTCAGTGCTACCACAATTCTCCTAAACATGCCTAACTTAACTACCATTCTCAATAGATCTTTTTCTTTCCCCCAACCAAATTTTCCCACTATTTGGATAATATACGCTACGACTATCACACAGGTGTTCTGTACCTTGTCTCTATGATTCTACAAAAAGTATCTGAACTCTTTTCCCTACTACTATTTAGTAGGTGAAAATCTTATGCTCAAGTTGCCTGGCTATGGGTCTTTTCAGCCGCAAGGGGCGCCAACCTCACAGGAATGGCTTGGCACTGGCATTTCCTGAGCAGCAATTAGAAGCTAAAAATAATGCACATGCTCTCTTCACAGTGACTCCCAAAGCTGCCCTAATTCCTAATGTTGGGTTAGGTTCCTCAATTAAATGAATTCGTATGCCAGAGGAAAGGATTTTTGTGGGTCTATTTTACACAATTGAAAGATAGAAGGATTGAGAGAAAAATGACTGTCCTTGAATTTGGACCTCGAAAAAAAAAACATGCCAGAAAGGCTTTGTCTCTCAGAGTGGTTCAAGGACCAGCAGCAGAATCACCTGGGAGTCACCTAGAGATGTAGAAACTCAGGCCCCACCCCAGGCTTTCTGAATAAAAATCTTCACTTTAACAAGATCCCCAGGTGATGTGAATACATTTTACAATTTGAGAAATACTGCTGCAGATTACTAAGTGCCCTCTGCTTTTATTTCAAAACATTTATACCTTCATTCTCCTTTCCTATATCATTCCCATTCCCCAGAAAAACATAATATTGTCCCTAATTGCCAATTATCTTGATGAGCTACAGGTACATGTACAGTCCTTTTTTATGTGAGAATGCTTTTTTTAA